CATGAAGCTTGTATAAAGAAAATTTAATGGTACAACTTCTGCAAAAATGTCCTGAATCCTCTAGGTTCTCGCAAAACACCCATTATCCGTGGCTTATCTTAAGGTGTAAGTAAAAATTAGACCTTAAGCAGCGAGGTACACTTAAGCTACAAGTGGTTGCTCACTTTCATAGCAATATATCCCCTGGTGAGATAAAAGAAGATTACACAGCCTTATGGACCTACTGGTTTGAACCTTATAAGTTCCCCGGGTTGTAACACCGCAGCTGCAACAGGCTGTCAAGGTGTCATACAACTGGCTGACATTCACTGATGCCAACTGCCTTCTTCTTTTACTTATTGAAAACATTTGAGAGGTTGACTGGCTGGCACCTAAGGCGACGCGACTCGATCCTTATATCGAGGGAAGCCATTGGAAAGAAGCCATTGGCAAAAGGTGTGGTCCATCACCGAAACTAGTTCTACGACACCACAGTCAAACCCATTATGTTCTATGAGGTCTTTGTGTGGTGGAGGGAGCTAGAAAAGACTACACTTGTTAGAGGCTCGACACTCACAAAGTTAAAAGCTCTGCCTTGCAGAAATATATTTTCTCTGTATATAATTTCATTTTAACCCATAAATTCAAAAGTTTAGTTTTTTTTTGGCTCATCCTAATATACGCACACACATGTCAACGTGCGGCAATATTTGCCACCGTATAGCAGCGATAAGGCTTTTTCGCCTGTCAAACAAGCCAAACATTCGCCACCCACCCACTTGCTCGCTCGCGTTTGGTAACGGCGTGAATTGTATTTGTAGCTGTTGTTGCATTTTTCCTTTGCCACTGCAGCGAAATCGAATCATATCCGCAACACTTGAACTGTTGTTGTTTATTTTTACAGTGCTTGTTGTGCTGCCATCCTTGCATGCGGTGCTCTGTTCACAGTTATCCGTACTTTCCTTTTTGTTCTTTGCCTCTTTCGACTTCCTCGCGCTACTCTGCTTTCGCCTTTGCGGCGTATTGCTTGTGCGCGTGTGTGTGTGTGCGCGCTTTTATCTTGTGTATGCAGTCGTTCAGTCGAAGCATTGTACAGTACTTCCCCCACACCGTTCATTGGCGTTCATCGCTTGTCTACATTCGGTTCTGTGCATTTTCTTTGTATGAACTCGGTTGCATGCGCATATCTCGCGTCAGCCGCTTTTTGCGCAGATACAGAGCAGATTGCTTGCGAACCAACAATTCAACCGAATCGTTGGACCAATTGACTGGGTGTACATTTGTCTATTTATTCGGTTTTGTGACTGCAATCGGAGCTGGGGTGTGTTGGATGGAGGTTTTTTTTATTTTGCACTGAGATAAACGATTTATGCGAGGAGAGATATATAATAGTCATGCATATATAGACAAATGTATGATAAAATAAAATATTTTTTCTTTAAATCTTAAAGAATGGAAAAAAACCTTAGATCCTTAACCGAAAACCAAGTCTAATCCTCTCTAGTGACACAAAAAATCTTCATAGGAGATTAACACATTCACAGAAAACAATAGAGCAGAGCAAAATTCGAAAAATCGATTCAGAGAATGCGGTTAATACGGAAGAGATTCGAACCCAAAATTATACAAATTTCCCATCATATTCGATGATTTGGGAGACCCTGCTTTACCTTGATTGTGAGCCACAAGGCTCATAATTTGCATAGAGCTTTCACATACCCAAATATTTATGAAGGATATGTCAAGCAAGCAAGTCTCTTTGATATCTTTAGAGTATCAGAGAACGCGAAAAACTATCTCTTGATCATTTTATGATATTTGTTTTTTACATTTTCGTCCATTAAAGCCTTTTTTGGACGTCAACCTCTGCTTCAAGGCACTTTCAAGTATCATCTGCACTCTTTCCACAAAGAAAAAGTGTTCCATTAGCACACATCTTCAGCATATTTATACAATCAGCTTTATATTTACCACTATTTTGTGAGAGTTATAGAGATCCTGCTGTTCATTGAAGACGCTTCAAGTTGTATATTTATTCGGTCAGAATTCCAAGAGTTTTTGAGATATCCATCTGAAATTTGGCACGAATCCTTTTCTCCCCAAGAAGCTGTTCATTTGTAGGCACCATCGGCATCGGACCACTACAGCAGACAACTGCCATACAAACTGAACAATCGGAATCAAGTTCTTGAAAGGATATTTCATAAGATATCTTCAAAAAATTTGCCATGTGTCATTGTCTAAGGCAATGATGCAATCTCCGAAGTAATTGTTTAGATGAAATTGCTATAGCATATAGGTACCATAGTAACTGAACGGTAGGAACCAAGTGCTTGTATGGACAACTTCTCTATTTGAGGTGGTGCAACCGAAATTAAAGTTTTTTCTTGTTTTTGCTGAAATGGTAGAAACTAAACGTAAAACAAACTGATGATTTTTAGCTAAATAAAGACAATGTTATTTAACACAAAATCGATTAAGACGCCGTCTTTATTGAGCATGCAAAAAATTGGGTTTCTGCTCTCTTTTCAATTACCATACTTTTTCCAATATCTCTGGTAGATTAACAACGATTTCAAATGATTCCGTTGGTGAATGGTTATATAATTAGTTATGTACACGCTGCTTTTCAAAAGCCGCTCAAAACAACTAAAGAAAAGGATTGAAGCTTTTGCATTCAATTGCAGTCGTGCGACCATTTTTCGGATTTTAAGCAAAGCGAAGGGTTGTTTGACAATATTCCTTCATTCAACAAATCTAAACAATTTAGTCGTAATTCTTGATCCAAGTTCCAATATCGGATATAAAATAATTCATGCACAGAACAGGTAGTAATGACTTGGTGTCAGGTTCAAACTATAAGGTCGATACATAAAAACCTTCCAACCAAGCCCCAGAAGTGGCCTGGCGTAGTATTGTTGGTACATAATTCCTTTCCCCCCTCACGAACGTCCAATTGCTTACAGTACAGATCCTAAGTAAGATTTGGTCCCAAGGAAGCAGTACAGAGTAGAAACACTTAGCAAAACTTTCTTAGCTTGCTTAACCATCCTTTCTCGCTTGACGTTGTGCTAAGTTACTCACTTTTCATCACCAGTAACCATCGGCTTCATAAATAAGCCGGATTTGTTGCGATTTTGCAGATGGAAATTCGGTTCATAATATTTTTGCAGTAAATCGTATGCCACCCATACGTCGAGTTTCGTATTGTTTCGAGCTTTTTTTTAATGATTCCGCATGACTCGGGTTTTTATGTAATGTAGGGAACGAAATCGGCGAAACCAAAATTACGCCTATTGGCTCTTACAGTATGAAGACCTTAACACTTTTCAGCGTGGTTGTTGCGTACTCGTCTATATTGAAGAAATCTATAAAATATGGAGTATTTTTCTAGTGCCCATCATCGATTGCTTAAACAATACTGAAATAAGCAACCACCAAACTGTTTGAAAAGTCTTTTAATATAAAATCTTATCTTTCAAACGCCGTAAAACTTAACCCGATAGCGGAGCGCTTGTCAGGCAATTATAAAAAAAAAAATTAGCCTTATAGGCCGAAAGTCAAAATTGGATAAGTTCACTGAAAGTGAGATAGCTTCAGAAACTTACTACAGTTTCTGCTCTATGGGTGTAAAGAATTTGGAATTTACATTGCCGTTGAAAAGCCCGCCTTTTGTCTATTCTTTAAGCTGCTCATTTATTTCTGACATACCATATTTATGGCAAAAGTATTCATTCTTTCGATTACTGTAATTAACCACACTTGTCAAAGCAATTCTTTTAAAAATTTCTAAAAATTAGCCTGGCTTAATTCTCATTATGTAGCCAATCTGCAACACACATTATGGGTTTGCTTTTGAATTCTAAATGACAGCCCTCCACTTAAAAATACTTTGCAATGGCTTAAGCTGTTGTGTTTCACATTAAATAACGTATTTAAGCCTGTATTCATATATACATAAGGCCGTTGTAGCAGATTTGATAAATGTTTGAATACTATTTAGTACACCCGTCAGTGGTTCGGAACACAAATACAAAAATAAAATGTTTAAATATGGAAAACGCTTATTTCTGTCAGGAGTGGTCAACGGCCATTATGAGACGTCATAAAATTTATAAGGTCCGCAATTTCTAAGATAATATTATATAATATTAAGTTGATCGCCCCAAATTACTCGAGCAGCCCGGCCATATATTTCTCAAAAGGTATAAGGACAACATTATTAGCATTACTATATATAATATAAGTTTACACATACATATACTCGTATATAATTAACTGCATATATTTATGTACAAACTAAATTGAGTTCAACGCTGTGCACCACAAGCCTCAAATCAGTATTCATTTGCAGCTTCCGCTTTAGCATCTTTACTAGCCAACGCACACAAAGTATTTAGATAAAACAGAGAGTATAATAAAGTTTAAAAAATAATATATAAAAATAATATAAATTGACTTCCTGTTGCGTAGCTGGTGCAATGGTATGCAAAAGTAAATTATGCGCGTAAAAAAAATGTTTTAGAAATTTATATATAGTGAGTATTAAAAAAAAAAAATATTGTGGGTGAAGTAAAAAGTTAGCGGAAGCAAGGGTAGGGGAAGAAGTTGCAAAGTAGAAGCCTTACGCTCTTCCTGTTGCATGCAACAACCACGTGGACGAGGGACACAGCTGCAACGCAATTGAAACATTTTAGCAGCAATAATGGAGGAAGTGGGTGCTTAGCAGAAATAAAACTTAAATAGCGAAAAAAAAAAAATTGAAAAACAACAAAGAGAAAAAAAAATAAATAAATATAAAAAATGAATAATAAAAAAGAGAATTAAAACTTTTTATTTCCAACAACAACCGCAAAAGAAATTACAGCAAAGTATTAATAGTAGATTTAAAATGTAGCAAATAAATGTGGAAAATCTGAAAATAACTGTAAAAGCGATGTATATAAAAGTAAGTGCTTTGTTTGCGTAACTCTCGCTCATGCTATTCTCTCTCTCTTTCTCTCTTTTGAATGTCTTTGCAGAACTTATTTTGGTTTTTATGGCAGAAGTTTGGATTGCTGCAGTTAATGTGCAACAGCACAGCCAGCAGTATTGAAGAGCGACGCAACAACAACAATACCAACACTACTGCAACAACAACTATCACAGCTATAAAAGAAGACTAAGCATACAAACACAAAAGCGCCAAGTTGCCAAAGAAACTAGAAAATAAAGGAAGTACAACAACAACCACCACAAGTAAACGAAGCAGAAGCGAAAGAATCAACAACAACAAGGAAACAACAAAAACTGGCATACAAAAGAGTATAATACTATATAAGTAGCAATAGTTAATGCAAATAAAGCGACCATAAGCGCATGCAACAACAACAACAATACGAAAAGTATTAAAAGCGTACAGCAACATAAAAACAACAGCAAAGAAAGCAGAAAAGGCGTATAACAAAATATCAACAACAACCACAATACGCAAAGTAGTAAAATCGTACAACAAAATATCAACAACAACAACGAAATCTGTGAAAGCGTACAGCAAAATAAAAAGAGCTTACGCTTGGACACCTGCAACTTGCTGGATTCAGGCGCTGCGTGCAACTCCAATGGCCACAGCTGCAAAGCTAAACAAATAAAGAAAGAGATAAAAAAAAGTTTAATAAAAATCCGCGGCAACTGCACAGCGCAGCAGCGAAGTGGCATTAGTAGTTGCTGCCTACACACAACGCTTGCTGCGGTAGATTTAGCCCATATCTACACACACTCACACGCCCATATATGCGCACTCATACATATGCGTGCAATTACAGTTAGCATAAAACGCGCTACTTTTTTCACTTTCGCGCGCCTCTTCGCCTATCTGACTAACGCTCATTGCATTACTCCTACTCGCTGGCCATAAGCGCATTGGTCTCACCAGCACCTACACCACCAGCGCCATCATCATGGGTCAGTTTAAATGTTGCTGCGTAGGCACTTTGTGGAGTAATGTTTTTCTACTACTCATCACAATCGGCTACCGGAGCGGAAGCGGCAGTGGTACGCTCGTGTTTGCACAAGGTAAGAGTCAAAAAATATACACACACATACATCCGTACACGCATACATATGCATTCATTACAAAATGTTAACGCCATCGCCGCCATGTGTGGCCTTTTATATGCTTACGCGGGCAAAATGGAAAATGCAAGCAATTGCTTATGTACTAACACACATTATATTTACTATATACATATATACATACTTATATGTATACATACACGAACACGCATAAGCGGGTTTAGGCACATATTCACGCGCATGGAAAATTTCATTTGAAAATTGTAGACAAATATTTGAGGCTCATTTTTTCAACATTTTGTGTAACTGAAATTAAATAGTATAGACCAGCAACAGAAGCGAAAAAAATTAAAAAAATTGTGAGAAACATGTAGTGAGACTATTTGTGGATCACTCCCTATATAGCTGATTTATTTATTAGTATCAACTTAGCTGTTCTTAGTTCGATTGGAGAAAGGAAGTACATATTTATAAAATAAAACTTACTTACTTTGAAGGTTATTCATTAGACTGACTCTACCTCTAACGAAATAACTAAATTTACATTAACCTTAAAGATTTTTAAAAAAATTTTAAAAAATATATATACTCTTCACAAATAGAAAAGATTTCTTACATGAACTTGATTTTGATTGATCCATTTGTATGGCAGCTATATGCTATAGTGTCTCGGTTTCAGCAATTTCTTCGGAGATTACACCGTTGATAAGGGCAATAACCCACGATGATGAAGATATCTCGTCAAATGAAAAAGCTTTTTATACAAGATTTTTATTCCCATCACTCAGTTTGTGTGACAGCTATATGACATAGTGGTCCGATATCGGAAGTTCCGGCAAACGAGCAGCTTCTTGGTGAGAAAAAGACGGATTCAAAATTTCAGATCGATATCTCTAAATTAAGAGACTAGTTCGTATATATACAAACATGGTTAAATCGACTTAGCTCGTCACGTTGATCATTTATAAACATTTTATAGGGTCACTGACTTTTTATTTTGTGTTTGTGGTGCTACAAACTTCGTGGCAAACTTAGTATACCCTGTTCAGGGTATAACAAGAAAACATTGACGCTTTTATTATTATACAAAATTTTGCAAATACAAAAGATTACTTACATTATCTTGATTCCGATCCTTTAGTATGTATGTGATCTGTGTGCTACAGTGATTCGATTTAACAAATTCTTTGGATATTGCAACATTGCCTTAGATAACACCCATGCCAAATTTCGGGAAGATATCTCGTCAAACGTAAGAGATTTCCATACAAGCTTGATTTCGATCGTTCATTTTGTATGACAGCTTGTCGGATATCAGCAGTTTCGACGAATGACCAGCTCTTTAGAGCGAAAAGGACGTGTGCAAAATTTCAGATCGATATTTAAAAAACTGACGAACTAGTTTGTATATATACAGACAGACGGATATGGCGAAATCGACACCCTTTTGGGTGTTACAAACATCGTGGCAAACTTAACCTGTTCATACTCATTCGGATAAAATAGTATACAAAAAGCTTTTCATAGAACATACCCTTCAAGGTTCGTATCACGGTCCATAAAATACCCGTAATCGGAAATTGATAAGGTATTATAACAAAGCGGATAATTAGAACTCGCAGTATGGAAGGAAATATGCGCTTTAAAAGATTTTAAAAAGTAGGCGTGATCCCATACCCTAATGTATATATCTCATGAACCAAGCTTGCTGAGAACGACTACCACAGCACGTCCTGATAATAACCATGCACTCTACCCCATTTAATGGGATAAATATGTCGGAAACATTAAATTTCAAATTCTATTATAAAGACCAACCACATAGGAGGTGGTGTCTCAATTTTTTAATGGGTATGGCACCACGCATCATTAGATGAAATCCCATATCACGACTATGTGATATACTTGTATTTCACTGTGAAAATCGGTCTACAATTACGCCTACCTCTCATATATTAGATTCTTAAATTACATCTGAATCTTTCATTTTACAATATATACATAAATCAATCACGAATGAGGATATAAGAACAACACTTTGTAGAAATGTTGTTCTTTCAAGGTATGCCATTTTTGATCTGAAAACGGACTATGAATTTTCAAGCCGCCACATACCAAATATGTAGACCACAGTGCCTATAACTTACTTTATACAAAAAATATCGGTCATTTTGTGATATATATATTTACGAAATTTAAGGAGCATCTTACATGGTAATAATGCCTGTGTCAATATGTGGTAAAATAGGATCAATAGTTCCCCTTGACGCAATATAGCCAATATAGTGACTTCCCATTTTCCAACCGTTCATTTTTGACAATTACGCAACATTTTAACCGAATTAAGTGGACATGTTTTTCTTAACAAATCATGCTCTAGGGCTGAAAATTAATGATATTGGTCTAGACCTAAATCCCCATATCCTTCATATTGTAACGGATTTCTCGATAAATCGTCTAACTATAACTCACTCTTGAGTTCAATCGTTAAATAAAAGTCCCAAATTGTTAAATAAAAGTCCCAATTGAATGGCTATACACTTATCTTTATTTCTAATTCCAACAACTTAACACTTATTGCTCGATATTCGGGTTTACAACTTATTGCTTATAGCTTAATTGCTTTTTACACGAAAACACTCTAATTAGAACTGTGTATGCTGCACAATCCGGCAGCCCTTACATAGTACATCTTTAAGAACAGTTCGCTACTAGAACATTCTGGCAACCACGAATTCGCTGTCTAGTTGATCCCGGCAGTTTATCGTTGATTCTGATTTGTTCTGGTATTCGTGTTCGTTACAATATACTTGTAATAATTTCCGACTATATGGTTAACCTTTTCCTGTTCTATTCAATATATTAAATTTAGCCCATTTTGATTGAGTTTGTTTGACATACATATACTATTTCCTTTTAACGGGTTAGGTCGATTTAAATATTAATATCTTGGACTGAAGCAAACTGCAGTAATGATAATAACTGAGCCTGAGACCCAAACTAGTAGTTAATAATATATTACATGAATAGCCTTATAAATAGTTCACAAGCTAGTATCAATCAAGAACTCCTGTTTTTTTAACGTCTCCAGAATTATTTGTATTTAATTACAGCAAAAATATATTAGTCGGTGGTTAAAAGTTTCACCTACCTATATTTCGTCTTGCCACGACCATTATTTCACATGAAATAGCCACTATCACTCTGGGGCACTGTTGTTCTGCGAGGTAAAGGTTCAGCTACCACTCTTAAAACAATGGTTACATTTTTCAAAACACAACTTCCTGCTGATTTAAAAAAGAATCCTGTTCTTTATGGTATGGTGTCCATCAGGGTAGATGGGAAAATCATCAGAATTATCAATATCAGAATAATCGGATGTCTTTTTCTGACGACATTAGAGGAGCAAGTTTTCATCGTTTTAGCAGTACTTAATAAACAAGAGCGTTGGTTCTGCTCTTTGGATTATAGCTATACTCCGGCTTTAACACGGAACAACTTTCGTATTTATCGTATATAGTTTTTTACAAAGTAGCGAGTAAGGGTCTTACCTTTCAACCTTGTCATAGTATCTTTATTCACTGGGCTTAAGAGATTTAATAATAAAGGTGCATTTTTATTCTCTTCTCCACAACTCTTTATTTATACCGTGAACAGGATACATTAAGTTTGCCACGAAGTTTTTTACACTTTAAAGGAATATATAAATGAGTATGATGTGACGAGTCGATTTAGACATGCCCATCTGTCTGTATATACGCATATAACTAGCTCCTGTATTTTTGGGATATTAATCTGGAATTTTGAACACACCTCGTCCAAAAAGCTGCCATTTTGTCGGAACCAATATAGCATAACATACATACAGCTGACATAAAAACCGACCGATCAAAATCATGTTCTTGTATTTGGCAAGATATTTTCACGAAATTGGTATAGATTGTTGTCTAAGGCAACACTACAGTCTCCGAACATATTTTTCAGATCGAACTGCTATCGAAATCCAGATAAAAGACTGCTTTCCTTATTAGGTAACCTTTTCCGTTTGATGCAAAACGTTGGTCCAGGGAATGATCGTAGTGAATTGTTCGAGAAATAATATACAAAACATTGTTACAGAACACCTGGTCCCTCTAAGAACTCCGGACCTGGGAGGAATTGAATAACTCCGTAGAATATGAAAATAACAATTTTCGTAACATTTTGCTTGTAAGACCAAGTATAAAACGAATAAAAGTTGAACTTGGTTCTTTACTCAGTGAACATAATACATATCACGACGGGTACTAGTATCGATTGATTTAAAGACTCAAATTTTATTGAACATCTCAGATAGCATTAAAGGCAAGTGAGCTTGTAGGCGTTTCCACAAATAAACTATGACTGACTCGTCCCAATCTATCTAAGATGATCGAAAAATAAGGAGTCTTTCTAGAAACATACTTATACATGGTTATGAGGAGATGTCTGATATATGAGTGTGAATTTCGTATATCTTTGTAGTTCACAAACACTGCAAAGTCTCATAATAGTTGGTAAATAACATTGTGCATGCGCCACCTATAAGTTCATCGATCGTTCTCCTGTCTGTCAAGAAATCTATTACATTGTCATTCCTTTTTGAGTTACACGGAAAGGTGCGTAAAAAATATATACATAAGTCTGTTATATATAATCTTATAAAAATTACAAGGGAAGTGTAAGTTGAAGAAGAAGAAGAGAGTGCACTCAATCGCCGAAGAGGGACATTTATGCGAAATATTTCCACTTTAAAGTTTCATCGCTTGAATGCAGCGTAATTGAGCGCTTGCAAAGTGCATTAGATATGAGAATTATGCAGCCATTGTTGTTGTAGTTTATCATCTACTGTTGTCAGCAAATTTATTTGTGCCACACATGTGCTTTGCGCATTTAACCCTCCATTTTCACTTGACGCAACGAAACACACACACATAATCTTACATATAGACATTTGAATGCATTTAACACACAATGCTCCATATAATTCTCACGTTCACAATCCATTCAACCAAGCAACTAACCAAACGGGCTGTCATCACTTCCATTTGCAGGCCATAATCAACCAGATGAGCCGGAGCCGGAGTTCTTGGCGCAATTGACCAACTTTTCAGTGCCGCAAGGGCGCGATGTCTCATTCACGTGCGTGGTCAACAACTTGGGCCAGTATCGGGTAAGTAGCTGCATTCGCCACATATTCTAAGCTTTATAAGTATAACGGACGGTGTAAGGCACTAGTAGATAAGTGGGTATATCTATATATATATATTATATACATGTCTGTATCAAAAGTGAGGGTCATCTGCTGCTCAGAGCCAGAGTACATGGCCATATATGTATGTATGCTTTTAGTGTGAGGGAGTGTGTAGCATGTCGCTATGTGTGTGTCTGCCCAGGGGCTAGCATTGCAATAAATTATTTTGCACTCTCAAGTGCAGAGCACGTTCACTCCCGTTCGGTGGGTGGTAATATTTATGTATGCGATTGTAGAAGTGTGTGAAGAAACGAACGCAACTGACCTTAACGTACTCTTTTGGGTGCAATAGTAGTCGTCGTAGAAATTGGAAGCTCACGTACCATGGCTACATATACTTCATGAAATATACTTGTATGTATTGTGCACGAATTTGTAGTGTATTGATGAAATGAAAAGAAAGAATGTTCTACGCTTCTATAGAATATTTTTAACGGTTTTAATGGAAGAAAATTAAATTAGATACGCGAAGAAATAACTGTGTTTTCTTTCTCTCATGTTTAACCGTCAGTTGCTGAGTGTAGTTCGGTATCTTAAGTCTGTTGAGCTATTTTTGTTGTTAAAGAACCCAGACCTTTAACAAGAAATATTATATTTTCGACTTTTGAAACTAACTTCTTTTCCTCCACCCTCTTTTATTTATTTTAATCCTTTGGGGTTAATATAGTCAAATTTTGTAAGAAAATGTAAAATAAGGCAGCTTTAGCGCTCTCCATACGACCTAACGGTAAATAAAATAAAAAAATGCGCTGATTCTTGTATAGTTGGAGGTAAAAGATCCGATTACTGGGTAAATCGTGATCTTAAGCACTCCAAAAAATTCTTGAAATTATTTGCGACTTAGCATCTCTTTATAGACACTTCAAGTATTCGAGTTTGTTTTTGAAACGAAAAATGTTTGTTTTAAAACTCAATCAGTTTTCAGAGGTGGCTTAAAATCTGAAGAATTTGTACCTCGCAGGTAAAGAAAAACATGACTACTGACTTTCCGTATCCTAACTTTACTAGCCTGTTTAACTGGGTGTTGATGCAATTTTCGTTCAGTTTAAGGTTTAGTGTTAGATCTGTGAGATTCTCTTTTCTTTTATGACTTTGTAGAGACCACGTTATGCACTTTTTATACATTAACATCTCACTAACATATATATATTACTGAATATTATTAATAATAAACCCAACGATTACCCTCCTCCCGCCCAACCGACGCGAGGGACGCAATCCGCATACGTGCGGAATTAGCCGAGTCAGAAAAGGCAAGAAGTTTTTTAAGCGTTGAGATCTAAAACTGCTCAGCTACAGAAACAATAAAGTCTTTTTAATTTTGAAAAGTGAGTCAGATAAGTCAAATGTGCTGGAATGAGAATTAAAATCATGACATATACGGCAGAATGGCTCGTTTAGTTCAAAATTTGATCTACAGGATTTTAGCAGTAAAGGTCTAAACTGCCTCGAAAGGCGAACCGGGATATTAAATTTAATTTCAGACAGGAGAAAAGAAGTGCAAACTGTTCCATTCAAAAGTTTCACTAAGAATATTATGCCAAGCATTTCCCTACGACTAGAAAGTGTAGGTAGATTAATAAGTTTTGAACGACTAGTGTATGGAGGTAGACTTACCCTTGCATCCCATAGGAAATGCACTAAGGCGAAAAGTAAAAATTGTTTTTGAACATACTCTAACTTATCAGAATGGGTTTGGTAGTTAGGGTTCCATACAACAGAGCCATATTCCAATATAGGTCTAACCAAAGTTGTATACAGTGTTTTAGTAATATACGGATCTCTAAATTCTCTAGACCAACGTTTAACAAAACTGAGGACAGCTTTTGCTTTCAAGACCATGGTATCAATATGAAGACCAAAATTAAGCTTAGGGTCCACATTAACTTCCAAATCAACATAGTTAAAAACTTGTTCCAGAATATGGTGTTTTATTACATAAGAAGAGGGGTGCACAGATCTACGGGAAATGCACATCGTCTTGCATTTATTCAGATTCAATGGCAAATCATTTCTATCTCACCATGCAACCATATTGTTTAAGTCTGTTTGCAACAGACACCTTTCCTCAGTTGAACTGTATGATTTAAAAAGCTTTACGTCGTCAGCGTATAATAAAATTTTTGAGAATTCTATTACTGAAGAGATATCGTTAATAAACAACAAAAACAGAATCGGGCCAAGATGACTACCTTGCGGAACACCAGAAGAAACATTAATTGTATCTGAAGGTGTATCCTCAAATATCACTCGTTGTGTTCTATTATAAAGATAGGAAGCTACTTATTGAAGAAATCTTGGCTGAAAGCCCAGCAAATCAAGTTTATGTATGAGAATCGAGATATTTACTTTATCGAAAGCTTTGCTAAAGTCTGTGTATATAACATCCGTATGCTTATGTTCCCTAAAATCCAATGATACATGGTTTACAAATTCAAGTAAGTTTGTTATAGTCGAATTCCCTTTACGGGGGAATCCATGCTGAGATGAGGAAATTAACGGAGAAATCGAAAAGGTTATATGGTCAGTGATGATAGCTTCAAAAAGTTTAGGTATAACTGATAGTTTTGCGATACCTCTATAGTTTTCAATGTTGGATCTAAATCCACTTTTATGCAAAGGGATTATAAATGACAGTTTCCATATTGAAGGAAATATACCGTGTTTAAGAGAGCAAATTAAATATCCTTGTCAAAGGCAAGTAAATATATTTGGGAAGCATGAGGGTGAGGGGTTATTTTTAAGGAAGCATGAGGGTGTCATGTCTGGGGCGTAACCAAAAGATGGTTTCAACTTATTTAAATTAAGTAGGACGTCTTCTTCAGAAATAATTGGAGCGTTAATTAAAGTATTCGAACACAGCACGTGCTGATAAGAAAAAGTTTTGGAAGAATTATTACAGTAGTTTGACTTGAAAAATTCTGCAAACATATTGGATATAATATCATTGTCACTTGAAATGATAGATTTGTATTTCATTGCGGACGGAAATTTGGAAATCCTGCGTTTGGAGTTGAAGAAATCATAAAACGATTTTGGATTACTTACAATATTTTTGTTTACTTTATTTAAGTAATTATTATAACATTTTTTGTTTAGGTCAAAATATTGTCGACGCAATAGAGAATATTTAGAATAGTCGACAAGTGAACCAGTTTTTTTAAAATGTTTAAAGGCTCGAGTTTTTCTGTTTTTCAATTTATATAACTCTTTCGAAAACCACGGACTTATACTTTTGCTTTTATTAACAATTACTATTGGAACATACTTTTCAAATAATTTCATAATAATGTTATTAAAATGAGAGACACTCAATTCAATGTCACCATTATAATTAGGCCATGTTATTGTAGAAAGTTCTGTATTTAACTTTTTAAAATTAGCTTTTGCAAAGTTAAACCGAGTACAGAAGCACGAAGTTTGATGATTATTATCCCGTACAATGCCTGAGATTTCGACAGATATTTCCAAAGCAGGATGATGTGAGTCCTCTGGTAGAACAAGAGGATTACTCTGAATAACGGAACAATTTGCAGAGGTATCAACGTATACTAAATCTAAGCATTTACCAAATTAATTCGGAATCAAATTAATTTGGTTCAGACCCAACTCGGACATTTTTTCGAAAAACTCATTGAAACATGACCGATTGCAAATCGGCACGATATAGTCATCGATAGGTTTCCACGAAGCACACGGTAAATTGAAATCACCTAATACAATTATTGAATCTGCATTATTTGCCATCGAGGTAGAACTATTTATTAAAGAAGCATGCTGCATGTATACAGATAAGTCCGAATGGGGTGGTATATAAGATAGGGTTAAATAAATAAAGCAACTATTAACGTATACTCTAATACATTTAAATTCAAATGAGTCGGTCCCTGGAACAAGAATATTTTCAGATGGGATAGAGGAATGTACGGCAAATAGAACACCTCCACCGATTCTGTTCAGTCGATCACATCTAAACATTTGAAATTCGCGGTTTAAAATCTCATTATCAAAAATGTGAGGTGAACCAAGTTTCTGTAAATCCAATTATATGGAAAATATTGTTATAAATTTCAATAGTATTTTCGATTAAGATATTTCTGTTTTGTCATCGAGAGTTGCTAAAAAACTTACCCAATTTTAATCGTTTCTAAAATATAACATCTTACTTTTTGAAAACCCATTGTCTTGTTCAGACCCTATTAAAACGCCACACAAATTATGATGTAAAGGACGAAAATTAGTATATTTATTATAGGTATATTGAAAAGACTAGGTGAAGAAGTACTTTGCTTGATTGGTATGTATAACAAAAAACTAACATTTACAAATGTGGGTACAAAACTTATAGAACTAAGCTTCTATGAACTTCGTTTTTTAATCACGAATCGAAGTTTGTAATATACTTCAATGATCTTGGATAATATCCAAGTTCATATCCATATTTTAATGAAGAATGTTTCATCATTATCCATAATTACCATTTAGAGAACGTGGATTGCAATAGTTAAACATACTGACTTCCATACAAAAAAAGGACACTGTATGGTGGAAGGGTGTAGCTGTTCTCCGAAATCAGGTAAATTCGTAATATGGTTATTTACATAGCTGTCTGGAACCATTACTTTTATTTTATCATGTTTTTACGTTTTTAACAAAAAAATTTGTTATAGTTTGCTTATATCCAACGCAATTTATCTATCCAATTCTCATATTAACAGAGCCTACGAATTTTACTCTTCACTAGGCATTTAACACTACAAATATTCTAAACAATTTCTCTTCAGCTTGACTTACAGCCGCCTGTGATTCCATCTTGTATATCAACATTATCACCTCACAACTCTAGAGAGTTCTTTTCGAAAGTTAATGATAGCAAGTGTTTGAAAAATGATGATGTGAAATTCTTAATGAAACTTGGT